TCAGGGTCTTCGGCAGCGGGTATGCATATGGCGGCTATATCCTCGGGTCTTTCCTGATATTCCTTTAGTAAATTTACATGAAAGGACTTCCGGATCCTTTCATCTTTGTTGCTGGCGATTACGTAGGTGGTGTCACAGACTTGTGCTACCACTTTGTAAGGGCCCTGCCAGGAGGTCTGGAGCTTATTCCCTTTGACAGGTCTAAGTACCAGCACCTTCTGGCCTACTTGGAAGGTTCTCTGGCGGGCGCCCTGATCGTACCAACGTTTCTGGTGCCCTTGGGCCGCATGGAGGTGGTCCCGTGCCATCCGGGCTAACTGTTCCATACGGTCCCGCATTTCTAATACGTATGGCACGATGGGTACACCGTCGTGTTCTGTCTCCCCCTCCCAGTGCTCCCGGATGAGGTCGAGAGGTCCTCGTACTCTCCGGCCATAGAGCAGTTCAAAGGGAGAGAACCCTGTGGATTCCTGCGGCACCTCCCGATAAGCGAACAGGAGGTGCGGCAAGAATCGTTCCCAGTCTCTGTATTCCGCTGTAAAGGTCCTCAGCAATTGCTTTAGGGTACCGTTAAAGCGTTCACAGAGACCGTTAGTCTGCGGGTGGTACGGGGAACTAAGCAGGGACTTAATACCACAGACCTTCCACAGCTGTTGGGTTAGGTCTGCGGTAAACTGGGTCCCTCTGTCGGACAGGATTTCCTGGGGGAATCCCACTCGGGTGAATATCCCGACTAGAGCACTGGCGACAGTGTCAGCCTGGATATTCGTCAGAGCGACGGCTTCTGGGTAGCGAGTCGCATAGTCCACCACGGTAAGGATGTATTTCTTACCAGAGGGACTGGGGTTAGGTAGAGGTCCCACTAGGTCGACTGCTACCCTGCTAAATGGTTCCTCGATCACAGGCATAGGTAGCAGTCGAGCTTTAGGGTGATCCCCTCTCTTCCCTACCCGTTGGCATACGTCACAAGTACTGCAGTAACGTCGCACATCCTTCGAGATCCCCGGCCAAAAGAAGGTCTGGGTGATCCTGAAGGTGGTGCGGTTACCCCCTAGATGTCCTGCCAACGGAATGTCGTGGCCAATTCGGAGAAGTTCCAACCGGTACTTTTTGGGTACCACCAGTTGGCGCTTCTGCGAAGGGGCACAGCCTCTCTTTCTGCCTTCAGTCAGTCTGTATAACCTGTCCCCATCCCATAGAAAACTTTCCCGTCCGTCCCCCCCATGGTCAGCTAATTCTCGATACTTTTGGAGGGTGGGGTCCTCTCTAGTTTCCCTCCCAAACTCCTCTGGGGTGTCCCAAGCTATGGGCCTGCCTATCGTAGTGGGGTGACATGTGGGTGCTTGGCTTACCTGGGTCTCCCGGCCTGTATTAGGATCATCTGCGACACGGGACTGTGAACGGGTGGTTACGGGACAGGCGGCAGCAGGTGTGGGCAAATATGCTGAAGTTAAAGGTCCAATGTCATTTCCCAATACGACCTCGGCAGGCAAGTTGTCCATAATGCCGACGGTGGTTTTTCCTGATCCAACTCCCCAATCTAAGTGTACTCGGGCGGTGGGCAAGCGAAAAACAGCGCCCCCTGCAACCCGAACAGCAACAGTGCGGGTCGACACATCCTCCGGCTTCACTAGGTGTTTTTGGATCAAAGTGATGGTAGCCCCGGTGTCTCTTAGGCCTTGTGCTGTTTGTCCATTCACCTTAACCTCCTGTCGGTGATGTTGTCGATTGTCTGGGGAAGCAGCTTGTATGGGGTCTGCTTCATACAAAATCCCCAGACATTCTTCAGGGCCCATTTCGGCTTCCAGACAGTGAGCCGCAGCGGGTCGTGCTGCAGGGGCCTCGGTGCTGGGAGTTGTACGCCTCCAGTTGTTGTTACTGGATCTTAGGGGACAATACCGGGCAATATGTCCGAGGTTGCTGCAGTGATGGCACGTCACCTTTGACAAATCCCGGGGGTAGTTAGTAGGCCCCTGAGGCCGGGGTGGTCCTGGTGGGACTGGAGCTCGAAATTCTGGGCGTGAGACAGCGGCTGGGGCACGTGGCTCTATTTTGTGAGCTTGTCGGGTAGTACCCTGGCTTACTTTCCTTGTCTCGGCATATTCGTCGGCCAGCCGAGCCGCCTCCTTTAAATTGGCGGGGCGCCGATCTCGTACCCAGTCTTGTATGTCCGCCGCCAAATCTTGGAAGAAATGTTCCATTAAGAACAACTGTAACACCTCCTCACCCGTGTGGGCTTTGCATCCTTGGACCCAGTGAGATGCTACTCTCTGTAGTCGGTTTGCCCATTCCATGTGGGAGTCCACAGCTTTCTTTTTGGACTCCCGAAAGCGACGACGGTAGGCTTCTGGGGTTACCGCATACCTGGTGAGCAGTGCCTCTTTTACTTTTTGGTACTGCGTGATTTCCTCTGTAGTGAGTGCTCGGAAAGCCTCATTAGCTTTCCCTGACAGTTTTCCCGCCAGGATAGTGACCCATTGCTCTGGCGGTATGTGATGTAGTGAGCACTGTCTTTCAAAGTCAGCCAAATATCCATCAATTTCCTCGTCATTTTCTACAAAGGCTTTAAATGCAGTAAAGGGAATTTTCGTTACCGTAGTAGTGGGTAGCGGGGTAGGAACTGTCTGGGTAGTGAGCTGTCGGGCTCTTACCAGTTCCGTTTCTTGTTCCCTCTTGGTTTGTATTTCTTCCCTTGCTTCCCGGAACAGTTGGGTTATTAGTTCTGTAGACGTGACTGGATACAAAGCTAACCTCCGCTGCACAATTGCAGTAATCACATCGTCCTCACTGATGGGTGCCATGGGTTCAGTTACCTCCATGGACCTGTCCATCTCGTCCAGCTCCAGCAAGTCAGCTATCAGCTCCCTCCGTGGTCTGTTGCTGGCACTCCTACCACGATTCTCCAACAGATCCTTTAGTGTGGGTCTTTTCAGCTTCGCATACTGTGACTCCATTCAGTGCTTGCTTGTTGGATAAAAGGACCATCCCACCGCTGCCACCAATGTAACGGCTACCCTGGTAGAGAGAGGGTATCGGCCGTTGGAGACGTCCTTTTTCCCTGCAAGCTGCTGTGGAGAAGTAAGCTGGTATAATCCCATTCACGATATCCAGAGTAAAAGTCAGGTTCAGCTGTAGCAGGAGCAGAATAACATTCCCAAATAATCCCCTTCCAAGAACGAGACAAGGCTACGTTTTGCAGGGTCAAGAAGATCTGAGGTCTGGGAAACCCAGCCTGCTTTTTATTAGGAACAAGTACACACAGGACACTCCCAGGGGGAGGATGAAAATAACCAGTTACACACAGGGTAACACCCCCACGTCTCCTCCCCTCAGATAAACATATAACATAATTATAACGTACCTAAATTTACCCACATTCTGGATGTACCCCAAAAACAGGGGGTACACCTTTAAGTCCAGCACCGCTTAATAGCTACCACTCAGGGGAATAACATATTCAAATTTCAAGTCATTCGGTTGTGGGGTTCGGGAGTTATGGGTCTTTGAAGTTTTGACCGACCGCACAGGATTTTCAGCCGAAAAGAGTTCCACAAGTTTTGGCCTTGCGGTCGGTCCCCGTTCGTGAATAAAAACCCCACGAACCCCTTGCCCTCCACAGTAATCCTGCCGTTCGCCTGAATCCCCATGCATGCTTAAACAAAACTACCGAACGGCCGGTCGTTCGGTAGTTTCAGCACGAACTTACGAGCTCCTGGAGGTCTCAGCGGCGTTCGCCTGTTTGCGTATCCGTTTTTAGTTCCATGCGTTCACAGGCAAACACCGCCGTTCGTGCGTAAGATGGCCGCGAACACGTGTAAAGTCCCGAAATGGCGGCCACCTATTCTCAGACAAAGGGATTCGTCTGAACCAGGCGAACGGCTGTATTCTCCAGTAATGATATTCCCTTGCAATGATTTCGCCATTTTCACTGTTTTAGTCCACAGGGCTTTGGTGCTGGTGAAGTCCTGTTACAATCACTGTCCTTTGAAATACTCAAACTCACCACTGATAGTCAGGGAAGATACATTATATTACTCTGTACGATCACTGATATAGCTTACACCATTGTAAATATGTATAGCCCAAACTCCCAACAACGTAGCTTCCCACATAAAGCCCTATTTAAAGTAGAACCCAGTAAAACTGAAGTTATGATGATATGCGGGGATTTGAACCACATTCTTGACCATTTGTTGGACACTGCAGCCAGACATCAACATCTCAAACCACATTGCCAATCCTTGACAAAATTACTCTTGAGTTTGGATTGTATGAAACGTGACGCGCACTACATCCATCAGACGGCTTCTACACCCATTTTTCCTCAGTACACAAAATGCATTGAAGGATTGACCATATTCTAGTCACAGGCCCATTATTGAAAAGGGTGGTGCACAGCGAGATAGGTGGCATTCTTTGGTCTGATCACGTGCCAAATATCATGTCAATATCTGAACAATTTGCCTCTAGAGGCTTTGCCCCTTGGAGA